CTCATATATGGAAGCCAAAAGGGTTGGTCTCAGAAATAGAAGAAGAGATAACAAAGGATGGGAAGGGGAGGTGGAGCAGGTTCAGGGCCAGGAGAATGAGTTCTAGAGACCCTGCATGGCAGAGCAAGTGAGGGCAGCTCAGAGTCATTTCCTGTGTGCAAATTCCCAAGCAGTGGAAGAAAAGATTTTGACCTTTCCCACCACAGGAAGTGATAAATGAGGTGATGGTTATGCTAACTACCTCCATCTGATCATCACACATCATATGCATGCATTGAAATCACACCATACCCCATGGATGTGTACAATTATTATGTGTCAATTAAAAATTAAAATTTGAATAAGAATTTCCTGCTGGAATGGATGCTCCACAATTGTGTTTTCCACCCTGCATGGCCTGGTCAAGATTTGCAGTCCCAGCAGGTGTGCAGTTGGGTGACTCACCCTGGCTGTGGGCTCATCCCTTGGTCAAGGCAAGGACAATGTGGTCCAAATGACACTACTGAGGTGGCTCCTGAAGGTGCAAGGGGGACCCCCCCCAAATCAGGGTGCTGTGCCCACCAGAAGGGGGCGCTGGACACCCCTTCCTGCTCTTGCTCACCTCCCTGGGGAGGCAAGAAGTGGAAACTCCATTCATTCCTGTCAAGTCTTTTCTCCCACTTTTGAGAGCTCACCCTTGCTCACAGGGTGCCCAATGCACTGTGGGGCACCTGCCAGGCCCTTAGCAAGTTAATGCAGGGTGGACGAGCAATGGGAAATGAAAAGCACGGGAGCACTTAACAGTTGTTTCTTGGTGGTCATTGGACATGGAGCCCTCTCCAGCCAGCCTTCCCTGAGTGGGCACCAGGAGGAGGTTCACTCAAGAGCCCCTCTTCTGCCCAAGTTCCTGACCAAATGAGAAACGGGATGAAAGAACAAGCCAGGATATGGCCTTTGCTGTGTGTATGTTTCGATACGTCAGGCCACAGGGCTTCCAGGCATGGACCAGACTCATGCAATCCCCCAGCTCCTGTGGGAGTAGAGATGCTGGTTCCCAGTGCATCGCTCACCCTAGAGGATGAAGAGGATGCAAGGGAGCAGGCGGCAGCTAGTCTCCTTCATCCCTCCTGGTCCACCACCCAGACATATGGCTTCTCCTCTCCCAGAGCACCTGGTTAGATGGAGGCCAGAGTTAAAGGACCTGGGCTGTCTCCATGGGGAAGGAGACGTCAGGTGGGGCCACCCTCCCCCTCCCCCCTAAGCTTCCTGGCTGGACCCAAGGGGCTGGGGCCGTGCAGAGGGGGGTGGCCCCAGCTGATACGCATCGGTGCTGCCTTGTGCTCATTCTCTGTGTGGGTATCTGCTGATTGCTTTTTCACAGCTTGTGAAAAATTTCCATCACCTGCGACATGACTTCAAAAATGCCTCGTTTGAAAAGTGGAAAATTTTGTCAAATGGCTGTTTGTGAGAGTTCTCTTAAAACAAAAAGCTTAAAGCCTCCAGAAAAGCCAGGTAAAATAATATATATTATTATCCTCCCTGTAACAGCCAGAGGCCAGCTGAGCTGATGCTGGGGACCAAATGACTGACAGGTCAGGAGAACTGACAGCTTTGGAGTCCCACGCTCCTGAGTGGGGACATCCGCTCTGCTCCTTGTTAGCTGTGCAGAATGAGGCCTGCTCCTTACTCCTCCTGGACCTGTTTCCTTGGCCGTGGAATGAGGAAGGTAACAGCATCCCTCAGACAGCATTTTTGGTAAAAATTCATAGAGATGATGCATTTCAGATGCGCAGGTCAGTGCCTGGCACGTGGGAGCTCTTAATGAACGTTAGTGAACACTGTTGGGATTTTTGTCACTGGTGGTGGCGGCCATGATCCCTGTGTGACATCGAAGTAAAGATTTGTGCACTTCCATATTACAAAACAAATCAAGACCAACCTGAAGTACATATCAGTTCCTTTCTCAGTGTTGATACCTGGGATGCCTTGGAGCTTCACGGGGAGCAAGTCGGCCAGACAGCTGAGCCATTAACAGTCACATGGCCTCAGACTGCCACTTAGCACCAGTGTGGCCCCTGGTGAGGCGCTAACCTCATTAGGATCCAGGAGCCTCACCTGCAAAATTGGGTGATAGTGTTGGTGGAGACACCTATGGGAAGTGCTGATGGGATTCCTAGCACAGCCCAGGCTGCTCCCCAGGAAACTCGAACCCTAATCCAGACCTCAACCTGTTTTCATTTTGAAAACAAGTTGCTGAGGCTGGCCTGAACGTGCGATCCTCCAGCCTCAGACTCCCTGTGGCTATGGGCGTGTGTCACTGAACTCTACCCACCTTCCTCATGTTTTAATAATAGTGGGCACGGACTGGCACCTCATTGTGGCTTAGCTGTAATTCTTTCCATCTATCCAAAGCCGATGGCCCACTGCTGGTTCTTCTCCCCCACACAGACGTAGCTCTTTACCTCCAAGTTGTTATCACAGCCTGTCCTTCTGTGTGTTGAACGCTGGCCTTGTGGACTGGCCCAGAGTTGGCAGCAATGGCCCGAGGCTGCAGGTCAAATCTGGTGCTGCTTGTTTTTACATAGTCCACCAGCTAAAAATAAATAGCTGTTGCACTTACCCGGTTATTAAAAATCAGAGGAAGAATAATATTTTGTGAAATGTAAAAATCACTTGAAAATCAGATTGCTTTGTCCATAAGAAGTCTTAAAGGAACAGGTCATGCCTGGGCATCACTCGCTGCCCGAGTTGTCTTTGGACTTGGAAGACAAAGGAAGGTAGCTGCAAAGGGGACCGTGTGGCCTGCAGAGCCTAAAATAGTCACAACAGGGCCTTTACAGAGCAAGTTTCCTGAACCCTGGCCTAAACCTGAACTCAGAGACAATAAATCTCCATTCTCGGCAGCACCTGACTATTGGGAGGTAATTAATAAGTGGTCCTGGGCTGGGGTTGTGGCTCAGCAGTACAGTCCTTGCCTAGCATGTGCAAGGGTCTGGATTCGATCCTCAGCACCACATAAAAATAAATAAAATAAAGGTATTGTGTCCAACTACAACTAAAAAATAAATATTAAAAAAATAATAAATGATCCTATTTGTTGGTCCTTTCTCCAAACTAACTCCAGACACAAAAATAAATTTGAGATAGATCAGAGAACTCAATGTAAAAACTAGAAATAGAATCTTCTAGAAGAAAACAGAAAAGAAGACTATCAATTGCAAACTTGGGCTGGGCAGACATTTAGGACCAAAGAGGTACTTAATCATAAAATAAAATAAATGAATTGATCAACACTTAAACTTTCAATTTCTGATGATCCAAAGATCTTATTAAAGATCTACTTATTAAAATGAGTAGACAAGCCACAGTTTTGGGAGAGAAATTTTCAATAACTGTAAGTGACAATTTGTACGAAGAATATATGAAGAACTACAAATAATAATAAAAAGGCAAACTTTTAAAATGGGCTAAAAGATTCAGAAGTGCAATTGAAAATCACAAGAAGATACAATTTCTCATTCATTAGAATAGCCAAATATATATATATATATAACAAAACCCAAAACCAAAACCAAAACCCAGAAAAACAAAACCAACAAATGTTGGTGAGAATGAAGAGAAACCAGGAAGAGGGGTATTCACTGTTGAGGAAGAACTGTTTGGCATTTTCTTATAAATTCCACTCCTAGGCAACACCCAAGAGAAATGAAAACTTGTCTCCAACACAGATTAGCTGTGAATGTGCTCAGCAGCTTTCTTCATAAAAGCCACAAACAGAAACCACCCCGATGGCACTATTAGTAAAACAGATGCTTAAAAATGAGAAGCACCCCCCCATCTGTGGACTACTAGTTGGTAATGGCTAGAAAGGATCACCTGCATACAGGTGGGCCTCCAAATTGTGCAGTGAAAGACAAACATGAAGGTGCCCAGACTGCGGGTTCCACTCTTATGAAGCCATGGAAAAGACACCAGGCAGATGGTGACAGAAAGCACAGCATTAATTGCGGGGGGGGGGGCAGCATTTGTGATTGGCATCACCTACAAAAGGGCCCAGGGAACTCTCTGGGCTACTGAGCATACCCATAACTTGCTCTGGGTGGACATCAGTGACAGGGGTGCATATAGTTATCAAAACTCAGCAGGAGACACTAGAATCTGTTGTAAATTATGCTTTCATCTAGATAAAGAGATAAAGACAGCTGTCCCTGAAAGGTGAGAAATGTCCCTTTGTCACAGACAGTCTGCAAAGCGTCAGCCCCTCCTGCTGCTGCCCTGGCCGAGGGCCCTCAGACTTGCAAAGGAAGAGGAGAAACCACAGTGCCCTGATGTCTGCCAGTTGTGAATGAAATGGTGACAATTCGCATTTCCTGTTTCCTAGGAAGGAAAAAACAGCAGCCCTGGGACTGCGTGTGTGTCTGGAGGGCCGTTCCTGGCCTCAGACAAGGACAGCACTGCTGACTCAGTTGGAACTGGCCACTCAGGCTTTTCTGGGACTCGTCAGTAGCCTGCTTCCTCTCAGGGCTTAAGAGGACCCCGAAGTTTACTCAGGGGTCCCCAGCATGGCAGCAGTGAAGCCTCTGGCTTTATCTTTAGAAGTTGAGTGAAGCAAAGCTGTCTCCGCAGGCAAGTTGTCAGGACCTCCACCTCTTTCTAAATCTGAGACTGCCTCTCAATCTCGCCCCACTGTATGAGTTTCTATGGCTGCTGTAACAAAGAGCCTCAAGTAATTGACGGCTTAAAACAATGCAAGTTCACTCTCTCACAGTTTCAGTGCTCCCAAGTCCAACGTGAGTTTCACTGGGCTGAAACCAAGGCCTGCCCTCCTTGTGAGGGAGCTAGGGGAAAGGCTGTCACCTCACCTCTCCAGCTGCAGAGGCCAGCCGCGTTCCTTGGCTCTCGGCTCCTTCCTTCGTTTCAAACCCTGTGATCTCTGTGCCTTTCTTCTTTGGCCACGGCTCCCCTCAACTTCTCTCTGGCTTCCTCCTCTGATTTACGGACACTTGATATAATCCAAGCTAAGCTTTTTAAGGTTGTCTGATGATAATCTTAATTCTGTCTCCAATCTTACTTCCCCCTTGTCTCACAGGGTAGCAGATTCACAGGTTCTTGGGACTTAGATGTGGTCATCTTTGGAGAGCCATCCTGCTGCACGCTCCGATGTTCAAGTCTGATTTAACTCACCCCTGCACTCTCTTGAAGTGGACCTGGATTGAGAGCTCGGTTCTGAGACTTACCAGTTGCATGGAGAATGGCAACGATCATGGTGACCTACTCTGAGAGCATGGTAAGACCCAGGCACAGAAGACACTGATCCCATTTGATGCTTATAGGATCCTTGGGAGTAGGGTTAGCAACCTTATTGCACATAGGAAAACCGAGTCTCAGGCAGTGTGCACAACCAGCCCCAGGTTGCTAGCTTTTAAATGGCAGATGCAAGTTTGGAACTTGAGTTTGTCTGACTTTAGAGTCTTGACGGCAAATGACTTATAGCAAACCTCTACCATGTCTCCCAGTGAAGCTTCCTGTGAGCAGAGACTTTATATAAGGATTCAAGATGAGGTCTGTCCAACACTTAGTGTGGGAGAAGCAGAGACATGGAACTTTCTCAGGTTTCATTACCTCTTTATGCCTCCTCTTTCTCCTTTCCTCCTTCCCTCCTTCCCTCTCTTCCTTCCTCCCAAGGTATCTGTTAAAGTGGGTGCAATGTGGCATAATAGTTGAAATCAAGGCTCCAATGCGGGCTCCCTGGGCTCAACTTCATTAGCATATCATCTGCTTCCATATGGGCCCACATCACCGTAAGCCTCCAGTTCCTCCTCGTTTGTAAAACCTGGCGTGTGATCCTACCTACTTTACTAAGCGCCGGGTGGACTAGAAACCACCCATGCACAGCACGAGGTGAATCATTATGAATCCACTCCTTACAGACCCACTCTTCATGTCCACTCCCAAAGCCAGTTGTGTGCAGAAGGGAAGAACGCCGGACCTCTGTTTGTGAGGACTGTTCTCTCTCTCTCTCTCATCCACACTCCAATTTGACATGAAGTGCAACATCACAAGGGATTGAAAGTTGGCGACCAAGACCGTTCACAGCATGGTTCTAGTGTGTGGCTAAGAAAGGCATGAAGGAGTGGGTCCCCCAGTACTCAGAGAAAGGAGGGGTTCGCTTAGGAAGATGGATGAGTGAATCTCAGTGTCTGCTGCAGTGAGATCCTGTGGCTGGCTATTTCAGTCGCCAGAAGTGGTCTATCACAGTGTTTCCTACAGCCGTTCACTTACGGGCGTCATGATTTCCACCGAATCTGTTGCCGCCTCGGATAGTGTTTACATAATATTTTCCTTTAAATCAATCCATTCTTTATACTTGATAGCATCTATATGAAAAGGAAAGTGATGTTTCTATAGTAGGTAGGAGGCTGACTGGCTTATCATGGTTAGAAAGAAACTGAAAATAAAGGCACGACTATTAAAAGTAATACATAATTTTGTCCACTTTTACCTGGAGCCATTCTGCAGCCTCGCTCTCAGCAGAACACCCTTTGGAGTGCGACACTGCTGCTGAGAGCAGTGAGGACCCTGGGTTTTGGTCCCTTGATGCTTGACTTTCCTGCTTCTCCTCATGGGGGAGGGGAGTGGGGTTAATAAAAGCACCCACCTTTCTCGGCAAATGACTGAGCTGAGCCCTTTTCACCCTGGGTCCGTCTTCTCAAAAAAGTTCCCCAGTGGGGTATTATTGTTGAGGTTCTAGCTCTGAAGAAACCAAGGCACAGAGAGGGGAAGTGGTTTTGCTCTGTCGCACAGCTCATGCATGGGGAACTACACTAGACTTTTTCTGAATCGACTCATCACCTCATGGTAGGTGATCCTTATTTGCAGTCTGATCCTTATTCCCATTTTACAATGAACTAAGTTAATGTTACATTTACTTGCTACTTGTCAGCGGAGGACCTAGATTGGAACCCAGTGGATCTGAACTATGACCTCTCACCTGACCCAGCAGCTGGGCTGCTTAGGTCACCTGCCAGGGATGGTTTCACTTCCACAACTGAACATTTATCAATCAGCCCCGGGCTCTTATCTGGCCCTGCCTGGCCGTGCCTTGTTCTATTTCCTGTTTAAGGTGGTATTAGATGACCTTGGCCTTGTAAGACAGTAACCTCTTGCCAGGAAAGTGCTCACTCATTCATTCAGCCCTCCAGCCTTATATTTTATTTAGGCTACGTTGGGTGCTCTGTGTCAGGCCCTGTGCTCTGTCCGGCCCTGTGCTACCATCTTGGACACAGGAGAGGTGCTCTGCCGTGTGGTGTGGTCGGAGACGCGTGTGCCTGAGATTCACGCCCTGTACCAGCACCCCCCAGCTGTGGGACGTGCTTTCAACCACCCCGGAGCATGAGTCTCCTCTTCTGTAAAATAATACTCTATGCAAGTTCATAACTTCTCTCCTCTGCAGGGAACTTTCTGGGTGAATTCTCACTCTATTTATATCTCCTTATTCACCGTCCTCTGTTGAACAGTGGAATATCATCATGATTTTCACTTTTTTTTTCCCATCTGTGAAAATGATACAGACTCATAATTTTATATCCTAAAACCCATGGACCAAATGCAGTTTGTAAACTAATTTTTGCTTTTTTTTTTTTTTTTTCAGAGTCCAGATGTGTTTTGTTTACATCAATGTCAAATAACACAGTGACACTTCTTCAGAGAAATGAATGGGTGTTCATACCACCTGAGAGCATTGAGGGCAACAGGTAAACTCAAAAGGGTTTTTGGTTTGTTATCAAATGAGCAACTGTAGATTTGGGAGCTGTAGGTGAGGGATTATGAGTGGGTCTTACCTATGTTTATGGTAGAAATTTTGGAAAATCACAGTAAAGTATTAAGACAAAAATAATCACTAACTAAAAAGAACAACTGGAATCTCCATATGTCATGTCTAATTTATTGGATTTTCAGTGACATCACTGAATGCTTATTCATGTTCTAGGTCAGTGGTTTTCAACCAGAGGCAATTTGGTCCCTCGAGAGATATTTGGCAATATTTGGAGACACTTTGTTTGTCACAGCTGGAGCCAGGAGTACTGGCATCTAGAGAGCAGACTGCACAATAGGTTCTCATGACAAAGCAGTATCCTCCCCTGAGATGTCAGTCTGCGTGGTTCAGGAATCCTGGTCTAGGCTCTGGGCACAAGGCAATGAGCAAAGCAGTAAAAAGTTAACCATCTACTACATCTCTAAGATATGTGAGATTTTATATATATATATATATATATATATATATATATTTTTCTCACATATCTTATGTGTGTGTGTGTGTGTGTGTGTGTGTGCGCTTTAGTAATTTGGTAGTATTCATAAATATATAGTTTTTATTTAACATGGTTTCATAAATACAAAATCAAAATTTCTAGCCAGGCACACTGGTATACACCTGTAATCCCAGTAACTCAGGAGGCTGAGGCAGGAGGATTACAAGTTCCAAACCAGCCTGGACAATTCAGTAAGGCTCTGTCTCAAAATTTAAATTTAAAAATAAATAAATAAATAAATAAAATCAAAGGCTGGGGTATGATTTAGTGGCAAAACACCCCTGGGTTCAATGCTCAGCAATGAAAAAAGAAAGAAAGAAAGAAAGAAAGAAAGAAAGAAAGAAAGAAAGAAAGAAAGAAAGAAAGAAAGAAAGAAAGAACATCCTTTTATGCCTATAAAATATTTCATCAGGAAGATTATTTTTAGCTATTCCTTTACGTAAATATTGATTTTTGCCGGGCTTGGTGGCACATGCCTGTAGTCCCAAGGGCTCGGGAAACTGAGGAAGGAGGATTATGAGTTCAAAGCAAAAGAGAGGTGCTAAGCAACTCAGTGAGACCTTGCATCTAAATAAAATATAAAATAGGGCTGGGGATGTGGCTTGGTGGGCTAGTTCCCCTGAGTTCAATCCCCACCCCCCACCCCCCGCAAATATTGATTTTTTCTCCCACTTTAAAAATACACCAGGGGGAGCTGAGGTTGTGGCTCAGTGGCAGAGTGCTTGCCTAGCATGTGTGAGGCATTGGGTTTAATTCTCAGCACCACATATAAATGACTATAAAGGTCCATTGACAAAAATAAAATAAAATAAAAGACCATGATGGACATCCTTATATGCCCATCGCTGAGGGCATCTGGTTGATTCCCAGATTCCCAGGTGGGCTTCCGTTAGCATGGGGCTGTTGGGCCAGGTGCGGGCCGGGAATCCTTGGTGATGAAACTGCTTTGCAGAAAGTGCGTCTCTCTTTTCATCAGTGCAGGGATTTCCATTTAGACACCAGAGTCTTCTGGTATCAGGAAACAAACAGCTGATACAGTGAATAACCAAAAGCGAACGGCGCGTGCGTCCACATGGGCCATTCGCTCCTCTGCACGGGGTGTGTCTCCTCTCCCTGGGTCCCATGGTGCAGTCAGGCTGGAAACGGTTCAAAGACTGGGCAACAAAACATCATTAAGAATGATTAACTTAAGGAAAAAAAGATGAGAGCCCAGGACCTGGAGGTAGAAAACCCTAGGGGGAGGCGACTGCCACTCAGAGCAGCCCAGGGTGGTGAAGACTGGGGAGGAGCCCAGGCCAATGGGACAGACTGGAGCCGAGCCGCAGGATACTTCCTTGCTGTGGTTCTCTGTAAGAACAATCCCGAGGAGTGACAGAATTCCTTTTGGAGGGTGACGAAGGGACTAAGCACGGGGCATGGGCTGATAGACATGAGAATCTGCCTTCCAGCCAGCATGTGTGAGAAGGGACAAAGAAGACTCCAGTCCTCAGGGAGGCCAGCCATCGGTGCCCTGCAGACCACCCTGAGGGGAGACCTCAGGCAGTGGGAGAAGGCCCCCACTTTCTTTTTTTTCAAAGGCTGAAGGGGAAGAGGCAGCTCATGGCGTACAGTAGGGCTGCCCGTTGTGGGAGCCACATGGATAGAGTCATTTCTCTGGCTCTATGTCACCTCCCCAGCTCTGCCTGTGCCACCACAGAGAGTGGGTGTGTGTTTCAAGGAAGCTTCATTTACAAAAGCTGGCAGGAACCAGGGCCACAGTTAGCTGACTGCTGAGCTCAAGAAGTGGGCAAGAAACTAAAATGACTTCACACCAAAACCCCAAATAGCCCAGCCAATAAACGGGCAAAGAACTAAACATGCACTTCACAGAAGAAGAGATGACAATCGATCGACAAATATATGAAAAATCATGCTCAACATCTCTAGCAATTAGAGAAATGCAAATTAAAATTACCCCGAGATTCCATCTCACTCCAGTCAGAATGGCAATTATCAGGAATACAAGGAAAAATAAACGTTGGCAAGGATGTGTGTGTGGGGGAAATACACTCATACATTGCTGGTAGGTCTGCAAATAGGTACAATCCCTCTAGAAAACAATACGGAGATTCCTCAGAAAAATTGGAATGGAACCACCATTTGACCCACTCTTCGCCATATATCCAAAGGACTTAAAATCAGCATACTGTAGTGATAGGGCCACATCAATGTTTTTAGCAGCTCAATTCACAACAGCTAAGCTATGGAACCAACCTAGGTGTCCTTCAAAAGACGAATGATTCAAGAAATTGTGGTGTACAAACGCAACAGAATGTTACTCAGCTGTAAATGAGAATAGAATTATGGCATTGGCCAGTAAATGGATAGAACTGGAGACTATGAGGCTAAGTAAAATAAGCCACTCCCCCAAAACCAAAGGCTGACTGTTCTCTCTGATATATGGATGCTAACACACGATATGGGTGTGGGAGGGAAGGAGAGTCGTTCACTGGATTGGACAAAGGGGAATGAAGGGAAGGGAGGGAGGGTGGGAATAGGAAAGGCAGTAGAATGAATCAGACAACTAAGTTATGGCCATTGTAACCCTAGACAGGTTAGTTAATTGTTTTGAACACGGGTTTTCTAGTAAACAGGGGTTCATGGACGTGCCCTGGGTTTGCTCTCAAAACCAATCAGAACAATGCCTGACAGGTTTATCACACAGCTCAGGGGCAGGAGGCACAACAGTAGCAGAGAGGATCTTGCTGCAGTCCTTACCCTTGAATTTGGGTCTGTGTAACTCTTTCTCCCATCACCACGAGCTCCTGGGGTTCAAGAGCCAGGTCTTGGGCTAGGGGCAGGGTAGCTCAGTGATAGAGCAGGTGTGAGGCCCTGGGTTCCATGTGCAGCACTGCAAGACAAACCAACGAAAACCCCACATCTTGCTCAACACCTTGACACCTGAGGGTGGCCTCTGGCAAGGTCTGAGAGCAGAACTAGGGACAGGGACAGCCATGGGGGGAAGGGAAGGCTCCCAGGGAAGTGGGCAAAGGAACTGAGTGAGGGATTTCCTTACCTGACCCCTGGACCCTCAGCCTGGACCCCCCACCCTGTCCCGCATTGCCCCACACCCGCAGCCTCGGTCTCACCCCTGAAGGGGGCTGGTCTCTCATCTCACACCCTTGCACAGTCAGCTGCCAGTTGCTGCTGTCCCCGGGGATGGGCTCGTGTGGCCGGGAGCTGTTGGCTGTCAGGGCAGCGGGGCAGGTGCTCTCCTGGCAGGAAGATCGGGGACCTGGCAGCCTGTGCCCGGAGCCCAGTCCCTGCTTGTTCCATAAAAGCCCACGTGGTCCAAACTTAGGCTCTAGCTGGTTTATAGGAACAGGGAGAGGGCCGAGCCAGCACCACTAAGTTGTCACCTGTCACTCCAAATTGCTCAGGGATGGGACTTTGAGTCGAGGATGGCAATGTTCTCATCTGGCCGGGACAGGAAGTGGATTCTTTTCCAGTGGCTCGAGGGTGTTTCCTTTGCCTGGAGGTAGTGTCACCGAGGTGACCGCGGCTGGGATCCTGGGCTGTGCTTGGCAGGCCTTTGGAGAGTGTCCCTGTCACATCTGCCTGGGTTCTGACCTTTAGCAGCAGTGGGACCGAGTCCTAGTTCTGCCACTCAAGCTGAGTGACCCTCAGCCAGCTACTTAGTGGCTCAGTCTCGGGTTCCTTTATCTGTAAGACAGGGAGAGCCGTTTCCTGATTCTTCGGTTTTTGTGAGGACCAGGGTGAATGCTTATAAAATATTTCGTCTAGTGCCTTGAATCTGATTAAGGCTCAGTTTCCATCCTTGGTGATTTTATTTGATTCACTGCTGTTGTTTGAGAAATGGTATCATCCTCTAGGTATGTTTCTCGATTGTCCTTTGCATACTACTTTGGATTTTGCCACATCTGTGGCCACCTGTACTATTACTTACTTAAGATACATTAATTCACTCTTAAAAATTTAAATACAGTACAATAAACTTGCAGATAGGATGGGTGCAATGGTGGTTTCAGATGGGCCTGTTTCATTCCTTCCTTTCAGAACCGAGTTTTTTGCTGACTCTACCATGAGGTCACAGCTTAGCTTCTGTGTAAACGAACCCCTGCGCTCTTAGGGGGGCTCGCTTGGCTAGGAATCGTGTGCCTAATGTCAAGGGATTTCTTTTTTTTCCCCTCTGTTAAATAACTTGGGGCCCTGATAGATTATAAGGAAGTGGTTACTCAGAGCTGAGCCCTCAAAGCCGAGAGGAGGGAGCAGTGGAAATTCCCCTTCCTCGCCTAAAATAACTGGCACCGGAGCCGGACAGTGTGAGCTTTGTCCTGGCTTGAAACAATATCCTTCCAAGTGCGTTTCGTATGGAAATTCTTAACCAATATATGGTGGTGGTTCTCCCTGACAGGCTAGAAAAAGATTAGTCATTCTGTGCT